CGCCGCGGCGCGCGCGGCCAAGCTGGCCAAGGCGGGCGAGAAGATCGAAGCGGCCACGCGCCGCGTCTCCGAACGCAACGGCGACTTCACCATCGTCGACAAGAAGATCGCCGAGCACCTGCCCACGCCGATGCAGGCCCGCCTGCAGCGCGCCGAGGAGCACTGGCGCGAGGACCCCAAGGGCTCCGCCAAGGCCATGGGTGCCACGATGCTCGGCCTGGCGCCCTACGCCGTGCTGTGTTCGCTGCCCTTCTTCGCCGGGCTGCTGAAACTGCTGTTCTGGCGCCAGCCCTATGGCGCGCACTTCGTGTTCGCGATGCACCTGCACGCGGCCTGGTACGGCATGCTGCTGCTGGCGGTGCTGCTGCCCTGGGGCGGCGTCGCGTTCGCAGCCTGGGTGTGGTCCAACGTCTACCCGGTGGTCGCGCTCAAGCGCGTGCACGCCGCGAGCTGGTGGACGACGCTGCTGCGCGCGGCCCTGCTGGCCGTGCTGCACTGGATCATCATCGGCCTGGGTCTGCTGCTGCTGGCGATGGCGGGGGCGCTGGCCAGCAGCTGACGGCGCGGTGCCCGCGCCGTCGCTTCAGCACTGCCAGAAGAACCAGCCGCGCGGCGGCGACTCGCTGCGGTCCAGGAACAGGTAGGCGATGCCGCTGCCGAAGTTGGGCCCCTCGGCGAAGTGCGTCCGGCCATCGCGGTGGCTCGGATCTTCGTAGACGCCGTCCATGGGCCGGCTGGGCGCCTCCAGAAAGCTGTACGCACCGTCGAGCTGGCCGATGAAGGCCCACGGCGGGCCGGGCGCCTCGTCCGGGCTCTGGATCCACAGCGGCACGCCGCCGAGCCGACTGCTGTTGGGCGGCCGGCTGAAGACTTCTTCGGGCAGGCTGAACAGGCGGTCCGCGTCGAAGAACTGCTCGGCTTCGGCCTCGGTGAGCCCGTCGTCATGCGCACGCCATCCCACGATGCGGGCTTCACGCTCGATCGTCGGCTTGGTCTCGGGCCAGGGCGTGAGGTCGTCGGTGAGCGCCTCGGGCTCGACGACGAAGCAGGCATTCGCGCCCGAGCCGCCGCGCCAGGTCTCGCACACGCCGGGGTCGTGGTTGCACTGGAAGACATGCAGCACACGGCCGTCGCGGCCAAGGTCCAGGCGGACCGGGTCGTGGCGCAGCTGGGCCAGCAGCGTCTGGTGCTTGCCGCAGTCCCGGCAGGTGGGCCACATCGACGGCGGCAGGCCGAAGGGCAGGCCGCCGAACTTCTCCTCGAACCCGGCCTGCGGGCCGAGCAGTTCGCCGAGCTTCAGGACGGGCAGGTGATTGATCATGGCGGGCGCGCACACCGAAAGACCGCGAGGGCCGACCGGCTCATTCTGAAGGCTGCTCACGCGCCGGCACGCCGAAGCGGCCGGGGAGAAATCACGTCAGTCCGGCTCGCCCAGCCCGACCGGCTCGCGCCGCAGGTCGGCATCGACGTCCATCAGCACGCTGGCCAGCTCCAGCGCTGCGCCACAGGTCCTCGGGCATCGCCAGGATGGCCCTCCGGCGTGCGGGCCTGGCTCACCCAGGCGCCGATGTCGGCATGCTGCTGGGGCGTGAGCAGGCAGCGGTCGCGCATTTCGTCCAGGGTCTGCATGCTGAGGCCTCGGCGTGGGTGTGGCCGCAGCATACGCCGCCGTTCATGTGCTGTCAGGCGCCATTCAACGCACCAGGTCGCCAGCCATCCTCGGACGGCCGGCCACCGGGCCGCGCGCCCGGATACTGCCGGCCATCCGATTCCTGGAGGTCTGTCATGCCCTTCCCCGCCCGGCGCGCTCTCGCGCTCGCCGCCGCCCTGGCCCTCGCCGCCCCGCTCGCGCAGGCGGCCGTGCTCAAGCCCTGCCGCGTCGACGGCATTCCCACCGAACTGCAGTGCGGCAGCCTGCAGCGCCCCCTCGACCCCGCGCGGCCGGACGGCCCCAAGATCGAC